AGGCAGATCTCTTAAATTAAATTGTTGTGTTTTTGATAAAAAGCCAATTATTCTCTAGCTGATATTAAAAAATAGTTCCTGACCACCAAAAATCTTTGTTTGCTATTTGATCAGGACTGACACTTCTGGAAATGAGATCTGCTGAATTTAAATCAGTCTTTACAGATCACCACGAAGCTGGGTCTGTATGTTAACCAATTTCGGTAACTCTATTTGCAACAAATGTCTTAAGTTTTTGATAGCTGCTATTTGAGCCAATCCAACACAGCAATAGAATCACACCAGTGAGTTTCACGCTGTATCTGACATCGCAAAGAAGTAATAACCTCATATAACTTGGCGATTAATAAATCAGCGCAGAGCTCTAGCCTAGGGATTGTAGTGGGTTTGTTTAGAGTTACCTTGGATTTCAAGCATAGGAGTATAACAGTGATCTCATTTTTGGAATTTGCAGACTGGAGGTAAATGCAAGCTCCGTATGCGTGTTGAGAGGCATCACTAAAAGAATGAAGTTCTATTGAGATTGATGATATTCTATTGAGATCCCAAAGGATCTAAAATTTTGAACAATGATGACAATATAATAATAATAATAGATCAGGCGCAGGACCAACGACTTGGAGGACTTGTCGGAGCACGAGGGATCTGTGACAGCAAACACCTGGCCGCCGAGCTTCAGCACGTCAAGCAAGTTCTGCACGACAACAAGCTTCGGGTCCCGCGCCTACGTCACAGTGACCGAGTGAAGCCGGCCACAGTCGAGCGTGTGCCTGCTGTACTACCATATGTCAGAGGTGTCACAGACAAGATTGGCTATATCTTGAAGCGAGCTTCTATTAGAACATTCTACAAGCCGCCGAAGAAGATTAGTCAGTTCCTACCATCCGTCAAGTGTCATATTCCTCTACAAGATGCAGGAGTGTACAAGCTTGATTGTGAATGTGGTCTCTCTTATATAGGACAAACTAAAAGATCAATTAGGACCCGCGTAAAAGAACATATAGCTGATGTGAAGCATCAACGTTCCGGGAAGTCTGCAGTTTGTGATCATATCCTAGACGGCCCTAACCATTACATCAGATTTGATAGACCACAAATCCTCGCGAAAGAACACCGATTCCTACCAAGGATGATACGTGAGGCTATTGAAATTAAAAAACATCCTAATTTCAATAGAGAAGGAGGCTGGGTACTACCACCTGCTTGGGATCCTATAACATAACATAACATAAACACTCACGCCTGTCACCCAGAGGGGTAGGCAGAGACTATGGACTTCCATTTGGCACGATCCTGACATACCTCTTTCGCCTCCTTTACATCCATATATCTACGCATACATGCTCGTCGGTTAAGGGTACTTCTAACGTGGCCCATTTTCAAAATATCGCCAATTTGGTCGATAAACTTTTTCCTAGGGCGTCCCTTCCCGACTCGGCCATTCACATCTGCCATATAAATTTGCTTAGTCACTCTTTCCTCATTCATTCTTTCTACGTGACCAAATCCTATAATCAATAAAATTAAAACTAAACCCAAGCATACCACTGCAAGACCTCAGGACATAGTCAGTTCATTTTGCATAGATCGGACCATAAACAATAATTAAAAAAGCTGAAGGTACTCCGGGTTTAACAATGACATCGGGACGTCAGTCATCTCAGTCCCCCGTGACCATGGGTGCTGGAAAGCGCCCGAAACGTCGGGAATCTAAAAATAAAAAGTAAAAAATAAACGCGATAAAATCCGTAAAAGTAGTTTTAATCATAGAAAAATGAGATTCACATGCCTTTTCCTTGGGGTTTAAATGAGGTTTTAATGGAACTTCTTCTAGTTCCCAGAATTTGGAAATTTGCGTATTGATATTATTGTAATCAAAATCAGAATTTGATAATGTAGCCGAATGATGACATTGAGTAATATTATTAGATTTTTGAAATGAATTTGTATAAGGACCTGAAATTAACCATCCGAACTTGGAACTTCTTAGTTTAGGATTCCTAGGGCCGAGCGTAATTTGCTTGCAACCTAGAACGTCCCAGAATAGTTCGGCGCCAATGTGTAGATCAACAGGCGCCGAATGGTGAAAAGTAGGGTCAGCAAATTTTATATTATTGGATATGATCAATTGTTGCATATCAATAGGGAACTTAGGAATATTGCATGTAAGCTCCGGTAACACAAGAAAAGAATGACTGACCTTGAAAGGTTCAGTTAACGAATGAAGTTGCGCTGCACAAGTTTCAATGGCTTTATTGGTATAGTGATTGCCAATGCCCACAATATTGATGAATTGTTGCTATATGATTGTAACGGTAGTTTATCTTTAAGAGATTGAGTTATTAAAGATGACTGACTACTGCAGTCCAATAGTGCTCTCACTCGTATAAATTTATTGGTATTTGGATTTGATCTTTCGATTACTGCGGTAAATAGTAAAACGTATGGGGGAGCTTTGTTCAAAAAAGTTGGCTACGGTTTCTTCTGAGATAGTAGCATAGCAGCATTCTTATTTGTACCTTTATCACTTGGAAGTAGTATATTCTAAAGAGTGTTATGTCTTTTCTTGCACTCGCGGCATCTAATCTACAATCACGCACACTGTGGCCATAGCATAGGCAATTTATACCTTAATTTGTTAACTTCAGATATGCGATAATGTACAGTCTTAGTTTTAAATTTAGCGCAATCATATATTATATAATCACCGCGACAAACCACACAAAAGAAAGAATTGGTATTATTATTTTTACTAGTGCAGGCAAAGGATTTTGTTTGTAGTCGTTGATGTTTATTAATTTATTTCAATGGACCTGAAATTTAATTAATTGTACTACATGAAGTTTGCAGTAGCTCCAATACATCCATGCGATCGATTAAAAAATGAAATTGTTGCAAATTAGAAATATAATAAAGTTATTCTTGAAATTGGGGATTAACACTTCTAAGTTACTTAGAAGCTTGAAATTTGGACACAAGGTAGATTAAGCGTATACAATATCAAAAATCAGAAAACTAGAAATTATTGACATAAGCGATGTTGACATTTAATTCGGAAACATAAATATGATAAGGGCATAAACTTATTATATTACTGCGTAGATAAGGGGGCATAGTTGGGTACAAATTATGTGCAAAGTTGTTGGTTTCGATCTTCCAAGCTCAATAGTAGTTGTTTTAATCATATGATCTATAGAAATCTAAGGAGCCTGGCGCCCCGCCAGTTATAAACTCTTTTATCGGTATAGCCTCTCACTTTTAATAATATTTTTGCTGGGATTTTCAATTAAAATACCATATGCAGATGATTTTAAGTCTATGTTCCTACATCATGGAGCATACCACGCCACTCCTCCCACTTAGCTTGAGTTCGGCTGTCTAGTCGCGAACTCATTATATGCACGATCACAACATCCCACTTATCACTAGGTTGCCCCAAACTGGCTAACGCGCGCAGATTTTTTGTGACGTGATCAACCATATATCTAAGTGACATAACAGATTATTTAATTTAAATGAGATTTGATAAGTTGCCGTTTGTTATAATAGTATTCGCAAAATAAATTCCAGGCAGTTAGGTAATTAGCACTTGATACATCCAAATTCGAAATAATACGAGATGCATACATAGCCCTCTAAAGAAGAAATCAGGCAAAGGAATTTGCGTTTAGGTGGGATACGCTCCTTATTATGAATAAGCGATAAAAAAGTATATGTGGTAGAGCCACGCTGTAGCTATATTACGGTTGTAGCACGAAGCATTGATGAAAGGGTCGGCTCGACCGCGGAAGGACCGCGCTCTCACAGAATACCAGAGTAAATAAAAACTTGATGCTGCTGTGTTTCGTATGGTGAGTGTAGGAAACCTGAGACCCATTTTACTGGAATTAAGGCATTCCATCTTAGTGCTCAGGGGTGACAACGCATCTTCATTTTTATTCTTAATCGAGGTTAAATGTGGATGTCAATGGGCGTATCCACTTACCATCAGGTGGACTGTGTGCTCGTTTGTTAATTCTATTTAAAAAAATATTCACGTCGTCACACCCTCTTGGCGTCACCTCGCAGACAGCCGTAGCAATTGTTGCAATTGTTGAGCTGCAACGATAATGCACGACCAAAGCTCGTACTCTGGGATGTACGGCAAATCGTGGTGGAAGTATAGAAATAATATGTATGAAGGGGAGATAATATGTACGGAATAAAACGATAACATTTTTCTTAACGTACAAAGAAATTAAATGATATAAAAGTACCCATTTTGGAAATAAAATTGAAAATTGTTAGAATTGTATAAAATATGACAGTTGTTGAATTTAGTCTATAAGTATTCAAAATATAACGTAATGTACTGCAAATAATTTAAAGCATAGGTAGAAATGAGGATAAAATGAAAATTTAGGGTTGTATAGATGGGAATTTATAGGAACACGCTTAGTTGCATTGATCTGGCTGAGGAGCGATGCTGATGGCTGATAGACATAAGTGCAAGCACGAAGTCTGATTAAACATTTAATATATTTGAACGTTTGCAATTTATATATAAAAATAAGTAAGAGCGATTTTTTTTTGCGCCCGAAGCAAATATGGGCAACCCTCCGGAAAGCGGGGGAGGGAGGCGGTGAATGCTCATAGCATACCACGCAGCCGGCTTCGTGGTTATGTGGAGACTTTTACCCACTAAACACCGCCTTTATGGATTGGCTTACCGATCTGACGGGAGATCTCTAAGCCGTATACGGACGCGACCCTCCTTGGCAGAAAGGAGGGCGCAAATACTACTTTGTAAAACGAATGAACGATTTGTGAGTTGAGGTGGGGAAACAAAAAATGACACTTGACATAATGTTAAATAAATCGTTAGGCGCAGACACTCTGTGATATATAATTATTGAGACGAAAGCATGGGTTACCACTCAAAATATAATATTAGAACACACTAAAATATATAATCTGTTATTAAGATGATTGTTATATAATATTTATAAGATATTTGTAATATGATATTTTGTGATAGCAGAGTAAGTAAATCGACCCCATCCTTTTATTTCCGTCAGTGTCTTAAGAGGCATCTACGAGAAAGATAATAAAGACCTTTTGCCACAAAATACAATCCTGATCCCGTCACCAGATAAAAGGATAATAGAAAAGATTATAATAGTATGATGGTATGGAAAAGGAAGGGATGGGATAAGACAGTATAGGATAAGATAAGCTAGGACGGGATGGGATGGGACGAGATGGATTAGGTTTAGAAGGGATGGGATAGGATATGATATAACAGAACATAATAATTTTTGTTCAATATTGATTACAATAATTTTTATTGAAATTAATTTATGCCTTTACCGCTGGTTCGGAAAAAACCTCTGGCCTTGGAAGAACCAGCATAATCACCCAGCGCGGTGTCCAATAGCCACTTACCATATTGTCTACTGTAAGTTCTTTTGTCACAATACTTTAACGTGGTAGAGCTACACTGAAATATGCTACGAGTATATTATGGTTACAGAAAGAATGGGTCGGCTCGACTAGCGTTCAATAGCAGCAGTGAGTGTAGAGAACCAGAGACCTATTTTACCGGTAATGAGTATTAACACATCTACTTTTTTTTGTTATTCGAGGACACAACATCCACCTACCATCAGATGGGCTTTGTGCTCGTTTGTCTTCCTTATTTTAAAAAAAACCAGCAAGAAATTCAGCGAGATTTATTATACAAATATATTTTTTGAAACCTTATTGTCAGGAATGTATTTAAACGGTGATTCCCACCACTATCCTTCACAGTTAGCTACTGTGGGTAAATCTTTGTTTCAGAGAGCACGAGGGATCTGTGACAGTAAACACCTGGCTGCCGAGCTCCACCACGTCAAGCAAGTTTTTCGTGACAACAAGCTTCGGGCGTCTTCAAGCGTGTACCTGCTGTACTGTCATATGTTAGAGAAGTCACTGACAAGATTGGCTATATCTTGAAGCGCGCTTCCATGAAAACATACTTCAAGCCGCCGTTTTTACCGTCAGTCAAGTGTAACGTCCCTCTGCAAGATGCAGGAGTGTACAAGCTTGATTGTGAATGTGGTCTCTCCTACATAGGACAAACTAAAAGATCAATCAAAACCTGCGTTAAAGAACATATAGCTAATGTGAAGAATCGACGCTCCGAGAGGTCTGTAGTCCGTGAACACGTATAGGATCGCCCCCGTCACTACGTCAGATTTGATAGACCACAAATCCTCGCTAAAGAACACCGATTCCTTCCAAGGATGATTCGCAAGGCTGTTGAAATCAAAAAACATCCTAATTTCAATAGAGAAGATGGCTGGGTGCTACCATCTGCTTGGGATCATATAATAAATAAAATTAAATCCCAACCCAAGCATAAAAAGATACCATAAGTGCATACTGTGTAGATCAGAACAAAAGTTAAATTTACATCTATGGTAACCACGGTTAACTATGACATCTGGGCGTTGAACATCTCAGTCACCCCCGTGATCGTGGGTGCTGTAAAGCGCTCGAAACGTCGGGTATTTAAAAAGTTAAATATACGCGATAAAATCCGTAAAAACTAGTATTATTTAAATCCTGAATTGGATCAAAAATATGTTTTTGAGTTTTTTTTTAAGAAATTCTCAGCAGCACGCAGCCGGGAAGTTGATAGTGTTTTATCCTCCGCCTATGAAAGCATGTAAAGCTGTTGGTCCTGCGCCTGATCTGTCTCCGACCATGATGAATTACCGTCTCACCAGACTATCAGAGCGAACATGCCACCTGCGCTTGTTGAGACTTCCTCGTGATCGAAATTCGGTCTTGAGGACATTAATGTCGGTAAAAACGGCGGCTTGAAGTATGTTTTCATGGAAGCGCGCTTTAAGATATAGCCAATCTTGTCAGCGACTCCTCTAACATATGACAGTACAGCAGGTACACGCTTGAAGACGCCCGAAGCTTGTTGTCACGAAAAACTTGCTTGACGTGGTGGAGCTCGGCAGCCAGGTGTTTACTGTCACAAATCCCTCGTGCTCTCTGAAACAAAGATTTACACACGGTAGCTAACTGTGAAGGATAGTGGTGGGAATCACCGTTTAAATACATTCCTGACAATAAGGTTTCAAAAAATATATTTGTATGATAAATCTCGCTGAATTTCTTGCTAGTTTTTTTTTAAATAAAGAAGACAAACGAGCACTAAGCCCATCTGATGGTAGGTGGATGTTGTGTCACTTGTTTTTAGCATGAATTTGGATATGTTAGAGTGAATAAGCTTTTGTGTTCGCGTGTAGCCTCTGTTTTTATGTATCGTAGAGCCTTGCTGTAGCTATATAATGGTTGTAGCACAAATGGGTCGGCTCTAAGAATACCAGCGTTAAATAGAAGTTCAGTGCTGCTGTGTTTTGTATGGTGAATGTAGAGAACCGGATACTCTTTTTACTAGAAACGAGGCATTCCATCTTAGAACCATAGTTGGACTTAGTCTTTCCGATACCCACGCACTAATAACATCTAACCACCAGTTACCAAATTGTAAAATTAGGATTTATTATTATAAATAGATTTTTCACTAACAGTCGTTGAACAAAATTTCGTAAGAACTTCCAAAGCTTATATAAGCAACTTATTACAAACATTCCGTCTGTTTAAATGCATACCTTAATATATTTCCTTAAGATCTTTTTTAGCTTTCCCCATAAGTTTCGTCATATTATAAACGCATCTGCATTTTGATTCTTAATCGAGGATAGACTTTGTAAATTGTGTAAATTTTGTAAATGTCTATGGACCACAGCATCTAATTCAGGAATCATCAGGCTGACTGGGTGCTTGTTCGTCGCCGTTATTCTACGTCATCCAAAAGTTCTTCATAGTTGACAACTAATCATAGTGTTTAGAATTGGTCGCTGTTTTGGCTTAGATAACATCATCCTAGCTGTCTTACAGCAGAAATTTCCCACGGTCTCTGGTCTGTGCGTTAAAGTGAATGTTAATTTGAGCCGGCCGTTCAACTAACTGAGCTCCGCTGGTTGACTATTTCTTTGTTTAATTTAAGAACAATTTTGGGCGTCAAATACTGAGAAGGATTATAGCTAAAAACAATTAAAACTATCTGGCTGCACTTGTTATAAAATTTTAATTTTGGTTATTACCAAACGTGACATAGCCTAAAATTTTACTCTGACGACGAGTCTCACAAGAAATCTCTTTTTATTATTATTTGACATTTCATCATCATTTTTTAATTAAATTCATCATATCACTTCGATTAATATGCGCACATAAGTTTTAATATTGTCACACAGTTTATAAATAATGGTATATTGTGGTTGGAGTACGGACGGGTCTATTCGTTAGAGAAAGGATTCTTACAAAATACCAGTTTTAAATTCAACATAATGCTGTTGTGTTTCGTATGGTGTGAATGGTAACCGTGGATGATCAGGTACCTCTTTCACTAGGAATAAGGCGTATCCTGTTAATACTTAGGGGCGATAATCTACATTTCAATTATTTATTGAGAATACAATTTATTGAGAAAACAATTTAAGAATTAATGACAGACGATTCTTTGAACGCACGAAAGCATAACAGTGCGAAGCGTGTCAAATCGGCTTCAATAAAATATTTATTAATTTAATAGTCCAGGAGGAATCGGCGCATAAGTATCGAAAACTATTCCACCTGAATTTTTTATGCGATTCTCTTCAAATGGTCCTACTTATGATACAAACGCATGTCGCCATGTGGCAACTCGGTGCCATCTTGTTTAAATCAAAATTGCTTAAACAATTGCAAGGAATTGTTATATCCAAACGGTAGATACAATTTTTTAATATTATTTGATGAAATAGAAAAAAAGGTCTCATGACTTTTTACGATAAAATTAATGTTTTCAAAAAAATTTTAAACCCACCAAAACACCATTAAAATATGTAAAGAAAAAAATATTAAAAATGTTTTTGTATAAAAATTTAATTAACATAATCGTAAAAAGTCGTAGGACTTTTTTATTTGTAATTCATCAAAAAATATAATAAAATTATCCCGTTTGTAACTAACAATTCATTGCAAGTGTTTTAACAATTTCGGTTAAAACAATATGGCACCGAGTTGACTCATGGCAACATGTATTTAAAGGGAAGCGCATAACAAAAAATGAGGTGGAATAGTTTTCAGTACTCATGCGCCGATTCCCCCTGGACTATAACGCAATGCAGTCATAAAAACGTGCAATTTAATAATTAAAGAAATTCAATTACTGAATGTACAAGTTTCAATTTCAAATAATACGCGTAGAATACGATGTATCTCGAATTAAATCGCGTATTTCTATTAACGTTTCTTAGAAATCAATACCTGAGTATAACTACAGCAGAAGCTGAATTAGTAATTTCACGACAAATTAACTTTTACATCGAACCATTAAATTACGCTGTAAAAATTATAAAGGTCTCAACTACTCGTTTTGTCTAAGCAGTAATACGTCATGCGTGCGGCGAGATAGCTGTTGTTAACGATGTGTAAATTATACTTCACAGGTCTTTTAGTGTTCTGCACTTTAGTATCGGTTAAATCAAATCGTACGTAACAGTTGACATATTTTAATGCTTTGTTTTCTTTTAATTTAAGCTGAGTTTGTTACTGCTGTTGCTGGTGTGTCTTTTGTTAAATGACTCATTTGTATTATTGTACAATATAGTATATGACTAAACTTTATTAACTATTTAACCTTTTAACCCTTTTGCTGAAAATTAATAAAGTTGAATTAAGACCAACCTCTTCGCTAACCGATGCTTCCCTTGTAAGGCTTGTGTGTAAGATAAAAAATCCTTATCCTTGTTTACTAGCGTATCGTCACAACCTAAAATGTTAAAGAAATATTTTTTTTTTGACCGATAAATAATTTTTCTGTTTTCCAAATTTCACGTCTGAATAGCTGTGAGAGCAGAGCTAAACCCATTTACTAGTGATACTAAGAAAATGTATGAGTTTTTAGAATTTAGATTGATTTTTTTACAGATATATCGCCTTTTATTTGTCGTCAGTGTTCTTGCGACGTTAATTTCTCCTCCTAATATTAAACGCACGTGCTGTTGCTGATTATGAAAAATACTTTAAGCTGTAGATGCTACTTTCGAGTCGACATTGAAGATCGACTCGAATGCAGTATAGATCGTAAAACATTTTACGAACTACACAACATACTCCTTGTTTCACGTGATTCGTAACTGGTAGCAATCACCAATGATTGTTATGATAGATATTGTGTACAATCGTGGGCCATCGCTATAAATACCTGAAAATTCTTCTGCTGAATATATTTCCCATTTGGGAAAGCTTCACTTTGTGCAAGTTGATGACTGTAATCGTACTAAGCCACTGTCTCAGTTTCGGTATTTTTGTTTTTTTTTGTGGATTAGCAATAAACTTTCTAACATTGTAGCTATATTAATTTTTATAACTTAAATGCAAAATTTAAAATCTGTCAAAAAGTATAAGATTTAATCTATTTTTTGATGTATGTATTTAGCACTTGAATAAAATGAATCTTGCGGATTTAATAAAATTTGAAGATTAATATGCTTTAAATTCCCGACGTTTTATATCTTTAAAGTTAAAGTTACAGCCTATATACGTACCTTTGCTGGGCACAGGGCTCCTCTAATTTATTTTGGGAAAGAGTTTAAGGCGAGGCAAGTCCTTAAGGGAAGGAAATGTCCGCTGCATAGCCTCAATACATGTTGGCGAACTACACACGTCTCCGAAATATTTTTTTCGTATTTCTCAAAAATACAGGTTCCCTTGTTGTATTGCTTCATCGCTGAGTTTGTGGTAAATCTGCACTTAAAATTGTAATTAACAATTTCATTGGTGCCGGTGGGGATCGCGTTGTTCGCATACTGCGAAAATTTGCAGAGCTACCACGGCTCACTAGTTTATTATCTCTGTTCACTTTAGTGTCTTTCTAGCACCAGAAACCATAGGTTGACTAGAAACCATGAAATGACATAAACAAACTAAAATTAACGTGATAAAAGCCTTAAACTTTTTAATAAAATTTGTAGTATTCATGTTAATATTTGAGCCATTGTAGCTCAGAGGCTAAACCCTCGCTCCAAATTTAACAGTTCACGTGCAACAAACGTTTACAATGTTAATATAAAAATAATTATATTAATATCCCGAATATATTAAGATATTATAATTATATTAAGATAACCAAAAAGACGAATGTCACTAATAACTAATAAAAATATTTTTCAGAATATGATGTCGTTGTAATACCATTTTCAAAAATTTCGAGAGCATACCAAAAAATTCTAGGATATAATGCAGCAAAATATGAGAGATATCAAAACAGAAAAGAGTTTGACAGATTTACCAACGATTTAAAAAAACTGGATATACAAGATTACAAGGAACCTACAGAAATGCCTGATATTGATAATTTCGATTATGAAAATGAAAAAAGAGATGTTAATCCTAAAATGGGATCCGATTATGATGGCTTAAGTAATGGTGATGATAAAATAGTTGGTGGAGATGAGGTCGATATTAATTTATATCCATACCATGTGGCGTATGGCACTAACTGTGGTGGAGCTATAATTGATAGAAATTGGGTGATCACAGCTGGACATTGTGGGTGAGTTGTATTAAAAGATATATAAGAGACAAAACATTTAGTAGACAGAGACTAGGAATAAGTCTAGACTGAAAATAAATTGTAAAAATATGAGTCTGATAGATGACTATGTATACAGGGTTATTTTTCAAAGAGTAGCCAAATCATAAACTTAAGTTCAAATGTATAAATAATGATATACCGTTATTGCAGTTTTTGAAAATACGAGTAAATAAGACTTCTAATTTTGTTACAAATTGTACAATTGTCCCAAATTGAAAGGCGTTAGGCGTGTGAGCGAACAATGTTTTTGTGTACCGATCGACTCCTACGAATGTGTGTGCGCAGTAAAATCTGTTAATGCACGCAATAATGCACTACCACGCATTTTGAATTTAAAAGATTAGAAAGACAGACAGTTTGAGATTTATTTAATTAATTTTTCTTTCCCATTTGCCTATATTACTTATTCTGAACCTTCTCCACAAATTTGGCCGGTTATTTAAAAATAACCCTGCGTATTTGTGCCATTTGCTCTAGCGATTATCGGCCCTTGAGGTCCGGAGATTGTGAAGTTTTTATTCACAACGATTGCGTAAACTTTTAAAATAATTACGATATCCTTCCGACTTGATTTAGATCACGATGACAATTTCAACAGAGACTAGCCATCGGGGCAGGATGGGATTATAGTACACGAGTATGCAAACACAGGTGCACTCTCTATTCCTTTTCACTCTCATAATCTAGTGTGACGGAATCAATCAACACGATCGGAAATATACCAAGCGCAAGAGTAACGGCTTAACATGCTTTCAGAGGCCAGACATAACAAAGCCGACTTCTTGCCATAAAAACACAATTACGGATTTTTGCTTACACTAAGCATTAATCTGCTGTCCTTCCCCAGGCGAGCTGACCCATTCATGCTACAACCATAATATAGCTCCTATGATCCACTTATACTACCTACCTAGTCAATCATTGGCTTTAATTTAAAAATTATATTATTATGCTATGTAACTGTATAAAAAATACGTTTTAAAAAAGTTGAAAACGAATTTTACATCCGTTTTAGATCTTTTTTCAAGTCACATCAAATTGTTTCTATTTGAGTTTATAACAATGTATGAAAATGATATTGATATTATTATCCGTAAATAACTATCTGCGGGTGGAAGAAGATATTTTTTTAACTAAAGGGACAAATGAATTTTCTGTCCATATGATGGTACGTGGTTACTGCAATACATGGAACACTGCAGATGCGTTTTCACCTCTAAGGACTAAGATGGAATGCTTCACAGTCTATAAATGTACTGGTTTTCCTACCCCTATACCCCTTTGGCTGGACCATAGCATTGCAGCAATTTGGAGACGGAAATAGATAAAGAGTGGAACGTACCCAGGCGAACCCTCAGGTAGAAGAGGAGTTCTACCTTCTACGGATCTCTGTTTAGATATTTTTATAATCCACAGAGTCAAGCCATATATAAAAGTTGGATCAAAATATTTCAATCAAGGTGTCAGAGTCGGTGTGAAAAAGAATCATATTCATCCGTTTTGGTCAGCAGTGAAAAAAGTGCATCCGTTTGATTACGACTTTCAGTTGCTGGAGCTTGAAGGGCCGCTGATATTTAATGATAACGTTCAACCAATTAAAATTGCTCATATCGAAGACATGGTTGTTGGCACGGTTGTGTCTGTAACTGGATGGGGAAATACGGAGGAAAATGTATGGAAACACATTTTTGTATTTAAAAAAAAATAGAATAAGGGTGACAAACTAGCACATAGTTCGCCTGTTAGTAAGTGGACGCTATGGCCCATAGATATATATATATATATATATATATATATATATATATATATATATATATATATATATATATTTTTTAATTAAGAATCAAAACCCATGAGGACTAATTTACTGAAGTGATGCCTATATGCATCACTTCAGTAAAAAGGGTCTCCGATTCTCTACACTTACCATACGAAACACGGCAGCGTTGAGTTGGTATTTTATCTTCTGCTGGTTCTTCCCCAGTCGAGCCGACCTGTTCGTGCTACAACTATAAATATAGCTGCAGCATGGCTCTACCACGTAAATATAGCTGCAGAATAGTTCTATCACGTAAAATTTTTGTAAATGATTTAATAATTAGTAAAATTATTTTACTACCAAAATAAATATGGTGATACTTTAGGAGAATACATAACTCTTTATGTCGGAAGTGGGCTTATCACAAAAAATACTAAAATAACTTTGTCCTATCGAAACGGAGCGGAATCATCAGTAGCCCTTCATAAATGTCCAATGTTGGAGAAGGGTCTCTCTCTGCGTAAAGCATTGGGAATATTTGCCTTAATCTTACCTCTTGATTTACGAAATAATTGTCGCGTTGCCAAAAACCTCCAACCTTTGTCGTTTCCCACCAGTATGGGCATTTTAAGTTTGAAGTCATTGGTTGGTTATACCGCCATCTATCGGAAACTATGACAAGCTTTTCTCTGAGATCCCTCCTAACGCTTCATCTAAAATTAAATACCGATAGAGACTGATGTAAAACGAATCATCGTCTGAGATGTAGTACCTGCGGTATTCCAAATATTAATTTGTTACTTGCAGAGAACATATGCACTCTTGTACGATTGTACCGATTTCGATGATTTTTTTCGGTGTTTGCCTGGGTCCCTGGATAGATTAGATTTTGCAATTGGAATCGGTAGGTTGTAGAACCGGCGCTGTTGTAGAAATACAGAAATCTCCTGTGCGGACCGCTAGTACTTTGACAATATTTTAATAAATAATAAAAAAATAAGAATGTGACATTATTTTATTAGTAGATCGCTGTCTAGTAGACTTTATAGTCTACTATATCTGATGTTGCATATTTTTATTCAGAATCAGAACAACATATTATGTACATGCGTCATTATAATTACATGTCTACTCACACATAGTAAATTTAGAACACACTACGAGCTTTAGCTAAAGGCATATTTTCCAGTCTACAATAAATCTTGTGGTAAAGCAGACACGGCTCTGGCGACAGACTTACGTTGATGTGAGCATCTTAAGCTAAGCCAGCTCTAAGTTATGACGTACTTGTGTAGACACAGCGTCACTATTACATTACGAAAGGCTTTTACCGGTAGCCTGCTACAAGCGTTACAATTACTCGAGGTAAACAGCTTTCTTTAACGAATGTAGTTATTTTGTTTAATATAAAACTATTATTTAGTTTATTAGTAATTTACAGCTTGACTAAATTCATTTTACGTAAGATAAAAATAAAACTCTCACACCTGTTACCCTAAGAGGTAGGCAGATTATACGGACTTCTATTTGGCACTATCCAGGCATACCTCCTTCATTTATTTCACATCCAAATATCTACGCATAAATGCCCGTCGGTTATGGGTGCTTTTAAATTGCCTATCTTCAATATATCACTAGTTTGGTCGATAAAATTCCAACTAGGGAGTCCTTTGTGTAATTTTAATATAAAATGGGATTTGATAAATATTTTCAACGTGGTAGAGCCACGCTGCAGCTATAATATGGTTGTAGCATGAATGGGTCGGCTCAGCCGGGAAAGGACCACGCTCTCACAGAATACCATCGTGAAATAGCAGCTTAATACTGCTGTGTTTCGTATTGTGAGTGTAGAGATTCGAAGAACCTTATTTACTGAAAACGTGACATTCCATCTTAGTCCTCAGAGGTGACAATACATCTGCGTTTTGATTCTTAATCGAGGATAAAAAATGTCTATATTCCACAGCATGAAGTGGACTGTGTGCTCGTTTGTCACCCTAATTCTATAGAAAAATTTGACTTTCATGGTATATCAAAATTAAAGAAGGTCAAATTTCAAGCAAAACAAATATTAATGTTTATTTATCATTACACAATATATAGTTAGGCCGTAGTCATATCCATTCCCCATCGTCCTAACCGATAGCGTAACCGTCACTTACCATGAATGTGCAAGGGTAAAATCTTTAAATCACAGTCAGTCAACGAAAAGCGAAAGGCACCAAATAATTCAAATTATTATTTTTACAATCTACGAGTATTTATTTATTTAATTTATTGTTTAAGAAGTAAGAAGTAAAGTGCTTTCGGGACTTGCTATATTATTTATTGATAACTAGCGATCCATCCCGCTTTGCACTGGTGATTTTCGGATATTGACAACAGCGCCACCTACCGAGTTCAATTGAGTTTTAAACCATCCTGGTCTCAAACTCAAATACACACAAAAAATTGATCAAAATTGGTCGAGCCATTTCTGAATTCTTGCGAGACTAGTGGACACACTACATTACTGCAGCAATGCAATACTGAGCATTTATGTTGCTGCATTTTTTTTATAAAAAGTGACATACGAACTAATAGTCAACAACCAAGGCTAGAAATGCGTGGTCACATCTGAGAACTAAGATAAAATGCCTTATAGCCTTTAATTATACTGACTCTATGTGCTCTTCAAACTGAAACACAACAGTACACTCACTGTTGTATGCGGAATATATATAATAAGAAGTAAAAGGAAAACTAGACTCCTAGGCAAAAAGAGTTCTATTGCCTAATAGTAGTAGCACCAATTCTTTCTTTTTTCTAATATTAATAAAACATACTATAATTCTAGGGACCTTACTCACATGTTCTGCGGGCCGTACGTGTGCCGATTATTTCAAAGGAGACATGTCAAAATGTGCCGTATCCGTACTTTAAGGGTACTCTGACGCCAAGAATGTTCTGCGCTGGCTATACGGAGGGCGAAAAAGATGCTTGCCAGGTAACCAACAGTCATGTATATATTAAAAATTATGTAAGGTAATTCTTTCATTTTTATTACAGCTAATCCAAAGCCTACCCCAGATAATGCCTTGTAGGGGATATATGGCATAGTTGCCACTTGGCTTTATAGCAAAATTAAATTGTCGAAAATTTATTTTTTAAAATATTTTTTTATTTTCAAATTAAATATTATATATATTAGAAAATTATAATAATGAACTTAACTAAAATAATAATTAAAATTATAATATTTACGATTAAAACTAATTATATACAATATAAAAGAAGAAACTATAATATAGAAAAACTAAAACTAAAAATTTTAATAGTCAAAAAGACCTGTTCCTCGCTGAATAACTATACTTAGCCTTTGAGCGAGGAAAGAACCAGCCTTCTTATCACCAGCAGCGACGACGAGTCGTGGATACAGTTCCTTTAGAAATTTCACTGCACGTGGACCCCACGGACCGATAGTCTCTACAGCAAATGGCACAAATATGTAGTCATTTCTCAAAGACTCATATTTGCGCCATTTACTAAATTCGGCTGCCTCTGATGCCGCCACGGCTCTAAAAGAGGTACGCAAGTAGCATGCCACACTAGGGCTTTACCTCTCTCCTAAGGGACCAAAGTCATACCGTCGGGTCTCCTGCCATCGTCTCTAAATATCCCGCAAGGCTCTAAAACTGAGGGGAGACAAGAGCCCTTCGGATGATTTCGTTCAAAGAACCGTGACGGGTAAACCTACCTGCACTTTTCTTGCATGAAAGTCCGTGGAGCCCAAACTCGTCGACGCTGCTACCACAGGGGCACTGGTGAGGTTGACAAATTGGTTAGTGAATAGTTAATCTATAATCAATTTTTAAAATTGATTATAGATAACTAATAGCAATAGACGTGGAGCAATTACGTATTCTAAGAGAGCATTTAAGGAGCAATTAATTGAAATACAGTTAAATTAAAAAAATATTCTGCGTTAACTTCCTTCCGGTCGCCGAGCGCTTAACATTTAAATGCGTTGTTTAGGACTATGATAGAATGCTTCATTATGAGTGTAAAAGATCTCAAGGTCTCATCCCTCACCATCCTAAGCATATCAGCGTTACGCTGCAATTTTACAGTAGTATCACAGGGGGTATTCTGTAAGAGTGTGTTCTTTACTTAGTCTAGTTGACACACTCACTTCTCACGCTCCTCCTTCCATTACTCATTTATCCTTTAAATTACGTTAAAATATATAAGGGTAATTTTTCTATCAACACATAAAAGTTATAAATCAAATGAGTTATAACCAGCCTGAATATAAGCGTGAAACCATTAAAATATTTTATTGGAATAACTGTAATTTTTAATTTTTCATGTAGAAATTTTACCTACGAATAAGTTTTATTTGATTTTTATTTTACCGTTAATTTTATTTACCAAAATTATTTTCCTTTAGGGTGACTCCGGAGGACCAGCGGTATCCCAAGGCCGCCGATTTTCTTTCATTTATTTACCAAAATTATTTTCTTTTAGGGTGACTCCGGAGGACCAGCGGTATCCCAAGGCCGTCGATTTTCTTTCATTTATTTACCAAAATTATTTACCTTTGGGGTGACTCCGGAGGACCAGCGGTATCCCAAGGCCGCCGATTTTCTTTCATTTATTTACCAAAATTATTTTCTTTTAGGGTGACTCCGGAGGACCAGCGGTATCCCAAGGCCGCCGATTTTCTTTCATTTATTTACCAAAATTATTTTCCTTTAGGGTGACTCTGGAGGACCAGCGGTATCCCAAGGCCGCCTACTCGGTATGGTGTCTTTCGGTTATGGTTGTGCAACGCCAGGTGCTTACGGTGTATACAGCAAAGTGGCAAAAGTGAGATCCTGGATAGAAGGTGTCACGGAATTAACACTAAATTAAATATTTTAAAAATATATCAGTGTTTGAATTAATTTTATACCTAACACATTATTAAAATGACTTGAGAGAGGTATAGAGATAGAGATAGAGACGAAACAGAGAAATGAAAGAGACGAACGGGGGTGATCTACATTATAAGTATTATTTGAGTAGACTCTTGAAGGCGAACCCTGGTTCGCGGGCTCTGGTATATGGTTAATATACTGGATGACCTTTTCTATCGTCTGGAAAAAAATAGGGTGTAACATGTGAACGAACAAACCTATGGAACTGCTATTTTACAACATATAAAAACAAAAATTTTGAAGAAATAAATAAATAAATTAAAATCTATCAAAATTCAAATCATATACATCCTACTTTACGGACGGCAATAAAAAATAAATTTATTAGGCATCTTTGACCTTGTCACGTTATGATTTTTTTAAATTTCCGCGAACACTACACATTACACCACACAATAAAACTATTTTTTACGGATTTTATCGCGTTTAATTACTACTTTAACTTATTTTTATTATCCCGACGTCTCCGGTGCTTTACAGCACCCTTGGTCATGGGGGGCCTGAGATGATTGACGTCCAAATGTCATAGTTAGTCCGGCTAACTTCAGTTTTTGAATATTAATTTTTGGTGCGACTTATGCAAAACAAGCTTATAGTATCATAAAGTCTTGTAGTGGAATGCTTGGGTTTGGGTTTAATTTTGTTAATTATAGGATCTCAAGCACATGGCAGCAACCATTCATCTTCTCTATTGAAATTTGGATGTTTTTTTTTTTAATTTCAATAACCTCGCCTCCTTGGTAGGAATCGGTGTTCTTTTGCGAGTATTTGTGGTTTATCAAATGTAATGGTGGGGACGATCTTGAACATGTTCGCAGACTGCAGACTTCCTGGAGCGTCGGTGCTTCACGTCAGCTATATGTTCCTTCACGCAGATTTTTATAGATCTTTTTGTTTGACCTATATAAGAGAGACCACATTCACAACTAACTTGTACACTCCTGCATCTTGTAGAGGGATATCACACTTGACGAATGGTAAAAATTGACTAACCTTCTTCGGTGGCTTGTAGTATATTTTAATGGAAGCTCGCTTCAAGATGTAGCCAACCTTGATTGTGACTCCTCTGACATATGGTAGTACAGCAGGTACACGCTCAACTGTGGCCGGCTTCACTCGGTCACTGTGACGTAGGCGCGGGATCCGAAGCTTGTTGTCTTGCAACACTTGCTTGACATGCTGCAGCTCGGCGGCCAGATGTTTTCTGTCACAGATCTCTCGTGCTCTCTGAAACAAAGATTTACCCACGGTAGCTAACTGTGAAGGATGATGGTGAGATTCACCATTTAAATATCGGTTGGTATGGGTCTTTTTCCTATATACAGTGTGATCAATAGTCTTATCAGGATTTCTAATGACTAAAACATCTAGGAAAGCTAAAGAATTATTTGCCGCTAAGTCCATTGTGAATCGTATTTTAGCGTTTGTGGAGTTAAGGTGGTCTAAATATGTAGTTACTTTGTCAGATGGTAAAATTGTGAAAGTGTCGTCTACGTACCGCTTATAGAATCTTGGATTTACAGCAGTAGTAAGAAGGGCTATATCCTCAAAGTCCTCCATGAATATGTCGGCGACTATAGGAGATTCAGGTGAGCTCATCGCCACACCATCTACTTGTAGAACTCTTCCTTCCACAACAGATAGCCAGATGTGAGGCAGTGTTTGAGTAATACTGCATATTCAGCAGATAACAACATGCCTACGCTATGGAGGCGTTTTTCATACCTAAATTGCACACGGAGTAACATTCAAATCGAAACGGGATTCGAACCCGTGGCCCTACCCTGCAACTAAGTGCTATTAAAGATTAGCCTCGTCGCAATTGAGAGGTATATTGAAGTTAACTACACATTAACCTCCATACCACTAATGGTTTCACATACTTACGCGAATGGTTTCATATACTTACAGCCCTTCCTAAGTCTACTGCTAAACATAGGCCTCCTCCAAGGAATGCCACAAAGCACGATCCTGAGCCACCTGCGTCCATCGACTTCCTGGATGTATTATCAGGTCGTCACTCCATCTAGTGGGAGGATATCCTACACTTCGCCTGCCGGTACGAGGCTGCCACTCAAGAACCTTTCTTCCCCATCGGATGTCGATTCTTCGAGCTATATGACCGGCCCATTGTCACTTCAGCTTACTAAGCCGATGGACTATGTCGGTCACTCTGGTTCTACTGCGGATATCCTCATTCCTAAGTTTATCACGCAGAAAATCCTCGAGCATAGCCCTCTCCATAGCTCGCTGAGCGACTTTGATTTTCCTCATACGGCCAGTAGTGAAGGACCACGTCTCAGATCCATAGGCCATCACTGGCAATGGGTACGTTATGCCTGACTAGATGTGTCGTAATCTCTCGAACGTTGCCCAGCCGAGTTGAATCCGTCGATTGACCTTGCGAACGCTTCAAACTGAATAAAACGAATTGTATGAATTTGATCTAAATTAATTTGAAAATAACGTCGACCATTTAGAATAATAAATTACATTAATGTTCATTAATGTTATTACAATCAGGCGTTGGCTTACGGCAATCATATTAAAAATAACGCGAGTCAATTTTGCTAAAATTTGCAAGCAGGGTCTTGTCTACGATACCGTATCAACTAAGGCTGGGTGGGTGGGTTACATAAGATATTTTCTTAATATCATTTTAACCCTTCAATCCTAATAAAAATCATGCAGTCGAATGCGCCCGGCAAATCCCGAGCGGTCGCATGCGACCGCACCCACCCACAGCACTTAAAACCATTATTAAAACTTATATGTATGTATGTAGTCTCTATGTATAAGTTTTTATGGGTAAAAGTGCTGGGGGCCGATTTGAATGAATATGGCCGCGGTCTCGTGAGGCCGGTAGGTTTTTTTTAAATAATAGTAATCTTATTAATTAACCTTACTAATATTCCTTTTAACCACTCCTGGTAAGCTTGAAAATGCTTGTGTTAGGAGTGGTTCACGACAGTAGTCAAATGGCGGATTCGAACCCACGACCTTTTGAGTTCGCGATCTGCGCCGTGCCATTAGGCTACTGTCGCTTCATCAGGTGTTTGAGAGGTTAAAATAATTTCTAATTAAGGATATACTCGGATAGCTGATGATATAAGTATAATAAACAAATACTCACAGTATTTGTTTAATACATTCAGCTTTCTGTCGTGTACACATAACTTATTGCTATAACTGGTTTGGTGGCTTATGTGTATTTAGCGGAAGCTCACAAACAAATTGGAATATTCAAACATAATTATAATCAATGTCTAATATTGTTTGTAAAATGCGTTGTTAAGATATTATTCAACACAAAAAATATTCTAATTTTCATTACTTTAATAATTTAATTAAAAAAATTCACATTTTTAACTATAATTCAATAATAACTGTGGATACAGTTTGGTAAGTTCTATCGTTTTAAAGTCTTTGTTAAACATACATATATTGTTTAAAATAAAACGTTCACTTAGTTTACATTTTTCACACACTAAATGTTTAAATATTGTCAAAAAATTAAATAACTCTTATAATAAAATTTATTCAAGCATTTAAAAAAAGTGCAATAGCTATAAACTATAGAACTTTTTTCTGTACCATATATACATCTGTGCCATATTAGTACATATGGTACAGTAAAAACAATGCGAAGTTATTGTAAAATAAAATGTTAATTGTTACTTAGTTGGTAGAGCCACGCTGCGGCTATATTAATTGTATGGTTGTAGCATGAATGGATCGGCTCGACCGGGGAAGGACCACGATTTCACAGTATAGCGTCAAATAGCAGCTTAATGCTGCTGTGTTTTGTATGGTGAGTGTAGAGAACCGGAGACCCTTCTTACTGGGAAAGAGGCATTCATTTTGATTCGAAAACGAGGATAGATGAGGTGGACTGTGTGCTCGCTTGTCACCCTTTTCCTATTAAAAAAAATTAAGAGCCGTAGTAGCCCAGAGCCTAAGCACTCGCCAAAAATTTCGCAGTACGCCAGCAGCCCGAGTTCGTTCCACGCCGGAATGATTTACATTTTCGCGAAGTATACGACCAGTTTAAAAACTAAAAAAATTACATGTTTTGTAATGTTTTAACATGTTTTTTGTTTTGTTTAGGTACATATTGGGGCAGCGTAGCGAATACTTCCTTGCCCAAAAAACCCTCTCAAAAATGAGAGGAGACAGGTCTTCATCAATGGAATGTTAGGCTGACTTTTTTCTAAAATATTTTAACCGTAAAAATCCAATTAAATTCATTCATTTGTAGTCATTGTGTAAAGGAATATAAAATAAAGTAAAAATATAGACATTACGAAATCATATCTATCATTTATTATTTTTTGTATTTCCAAAAGCTAAAAAGCACTGTTATTAGTAATTTTATTAAATATCCCATGTATTTCTTATACGATATTGTACGCAAATTCTTCACATGGAATAAAACTAATTTAACGTATTATATTAATTAACATATTAAATTAATTATAAGTATAGATGGTTAAAAAAAATCACGCTTGACGCTTATTCTTTTTTTTTTCTTAATATAAGCCAGTGCATGACCACACCTGGTGTAAGTGGTGATGCAGACTTAAATGGTAAATCACACTGTCTTAGCGTAACAAAAGCCTTATTCACTCTTGTCTTGAATACACCCAGATTGTATTCGGACGGAATGATAGACGCCGGAAAATTATTCTATTCCTTTGCTGTACTTATAAAAAAGGCGAAGCAAACCGTTTGGTTCGAATACGTGGAATATCGACGACAAAGGGGTGAAGACCCGCCGACCGCCTAGTCCTATTTCCATTTCGAAAGGCCTAATTCCACCGCAGGACTCTTAGGGTATGATGATAGGACGTTCGGAGTGCTTCGCAATACCAGTGGACTACGTATCGCTTGTAGCATGTTACAATATATAGAATGAAATGGGAAGATTATTCAATT